TGGATGTAAGTTTATAATATATTACATAATTAATTCACTGTGGAAATGTTTTATACTAAATCTCAGAGAATCAAGCTTATTGTCAGCAAAAACTATGTAATTAAAGCTGTTATTTCAATGCACTTAACAATTATTTTTAGTTTTTCATTAACACTAATATCCAATGGTATTCCAAAATAATAAATACAGCAAAAAATAAAATTTCTATTATATTATTTTAATTTTTTAAAACATTTGCAAAATATATAATAAAAATAATAATGCGACTTTAACAATTCATAAACTATTATAACAACAACCATTTAATTATATTATTTTATATTATTGTTTTATCGTTTATGAGAAAAAACTGAGTCTTAAGAACAAGTATAAATTGTACAAGTATTACTTGATAATACATTTTTGAAAATATTTAGGTTTTAAGTAAAAGTTCAGCTGAAATGTGGTGGAGTTCAAGACTTGTGTCACAGGGGGAAATGAATGATAGTCTAGATGGTATCCATTCTAGTAATGCATCTTTGCGATTAAGAGCTCAAATTTTGTTAAACTTATATTGCAATGATCATATGAATTTTAATGATGGTACCTGTTGCTCAAGTACTGAACCATATACTTCATTACAGAGTTATATGTTGGTTTTTTTTATCATTTGGTAAGTTACTTTAATATACTCACGTTTATATTTTTAATATATTTGAGATATTTTGTATGTATTTAGTATTTTCATTGGAATCCTAATGGCAGTTAGATATCGACAAAATAGGTTATCTAAAAATGAACCAAGCTATGTAGTAATGATTTCTCTCGCAAAATTGGGTCTTATAATGATTTATTTTTACTTATGTGACAGGTAAATTATTATTGATTTATCTATTATTCTTTTTGAATATATTATGATGTATACATTATTTAAYTTTCAGAACTAAYTTTTTTATGAAAGAAAATAAATATTATTCTGATGCTAGTTTTTGGTTGCCTATTGGTTATGTATTTGTTCTCGGCTTATTTTTCACTGAAGAAAGTAGATATACAAAAGTACTTCATCGAGATCAAACTGACGAATGGAAAGGTATTGATTTTGAATTTTTTTTAATTCAATCAAGTTTCCAAAATTATAAATATATATTATATGTGTGTAGATAATTAAATTATAGAAATTTTTAGCATTTCAGAATACATAATTGAACATATACATAATTCATTATAATCTATTAAATATGTATAACAATTCATATAGTACGTGTTAATTGTGTAAAATTTCTTAGTAGATCTATGTATTACTGAATTAGATTTATATTTTTTTTCAAAGTATTAAAAATATTGTTTTAGAATAAATATAGTTACATTTTTTTTTTCAATAAGTAAATCAAACATTTTATTTCTAGGTTGGATGCAATTAATAATTTTAATATATAATCTAACTGGAGCAAATATCAAAACATCAATTGCAAATAATGTTCAAATAATGATATCTGCATATCTATTTCTTACGGGCTATGGTCATTTTTATTACATGTGGCATAGAAGTGATGCAGGACTTACTCGTTACTTTCAGGTATAACATTTAATTTCTTGATTGTATTTATAAAATCCTCATTAATCATTTATTTTTTCCTATTACACTCCTTTATCATTCTCTGGTCTTGTGTGAATTTTATACTACTGGACGGAGAACTGATAAAGGTGAGTGATATGGAACAAATGTTTTAATTGTATTACAATTAAATATTCAATGGACTTGGTATAATATTTTATTCTTTTTCTTTTGGAAGTATATAGTTTTTAAGCATATTTTGTTATGGTTGAGATATTTTAATTGTTGTCAAAATTTCAATAAAAATGATAAAATTAATTCTGAATGAGTAACACGCAGGGGTTAAAGTGGGGGGGGGGACGCAGGAGGACTCAGTCACCTTACCTCTGACGGTGGTTAAAAAGCGTCCCCTTTAACAAATTAGGATTTTATACATTAGACATTATACATAAAATTATATATGGAACGCTTAAAACTTTTTGAAAACATTAGTCCCCTTTGGAATTTTTTCCCACTTTAACCTCTGGTAACAAGAGTCTATAAAGTCTGAAAATTTATTTGCA